GCGCGTCTATCAATAAGACGTTGTGCTCGAGGATGGCTGAGGCTGGAACATGCGCACAGCGCAGAGCGGAGATAATCTACATTGTGCGAAGAATTGCATGCATATGCCGCTCAGTCTCGCCTCCGTTCACTACAGTGCAATGTCTTAATACTTCCATACTACGTTTACCATTACTAGTGAAAGACCCTGTGTTTGTTTGCAATATTCCTTTGTCTCCCGCAAACGCCCGACCACTGCTCTTCACAGCTCACCGCTTCTCTACCCCACTTTGAAGACTCGTTACTACAAGTCATCGACAGGCGTTAAACCTACGTCGAATCTTCTCACCCAGTTCTCTTTCTCTCCTCAGCGGAACACAAGACCAAGACCAAGACCAACTTTCGATTCGCCATGCTCAATCTACTCACTTCGCTTGTCTGGCTACTTGCCTGCCTAAGCCTTGTCTCAGCAGTGCCTGTCGACACGTTTGCCGGTAATATCACATTCATGGCAAGGCGCGACACTGCGAATGTATGTTTATCAGCCTTTTTGACGCAATCTTGTAGCACTCTTGCTAATGAAGCTAACCAGGCATCTCCATATCCGTACTCCCTACAGCTCATCCTAAGTAAATTCCCTGTTCGCCGATACAACTGGTTCATCTTTCAGGGACCCCAAGGAACCGCAGTGGATCCTTGCCTGGATCCTAAAGATGATCCGAACTTCGATCGGGTCTACTTCGGAAGGGAATTCGCGGGCGAGGACGACGACATCGCCCATCCGCCGTTTCCCCCTTCCAGTGTAAGTAGAACATTCTTCAAACTCTTTGCAGAGTATCGTATGCTAACTATCACTCTCATGTAGGTATACACTGACATCGAGTATTCCGAAGACTGCCATTACATCGGCAGCGGCGTCGACGCTGGTCAGTTTCGATGCGGAGATTACTACATCATCGATTGTGCAAAAGATCCGCGCTACAACGAGGCAACCTTCAAATGCCCGGATGGTCGGGAATATCACCGCGGATATAACTGCGAGTTCTGAGGAGGCAGCACCTCATACAAGAAAAGAACTGAACAGGTCTGCAGGCTACATTAAGCCAAAACCTTGCAAATTAGGTGAACCAACGTCAACGTAGGCTCCAGGGTGTTCAGGTTTTTCCTAGGTTGGCGTGGCAGGCTATATGGACCCGGGTTGATGGCAAGCGTATGTAAGGGTTGACCGTATGGTTCAAGTAGGCTTATCTAAGTGGTCATCTCACCCAACGTATGCACGCGCGGTGAGGAATGCACTCGTCCTCAAGCAATATGTTCGTCCCCAAGTAATGTATCCGTCCTCAAGAAATGTTGTCGCCCTCAAGAAGTGTAAGCGTGGAGACAGGCTCGTATGCGTATTCTGACGCGTTATCTGCCCTCTGACCATATCTTAGCGACTGCCGTTTGCTTCATCTGAGACTAACTGCAATTGGCTCCACACACGTGCTACTCTTGCGCGGTTGCCTACTTAACGCACTCACTTCTCACCACGAGCTTGTCGAGTTCCCTAGCTCCAACGCCAATTCAAAATATCGCGTCTCCGTTCATACACACTTCATCAATTCGACACAGTCTGCCTACGAATCAACAGCAACTATGTCTTCCTTAGTCACCTACCTTGTGTGGCTCTTCGTCGGCCTCGGCTTCGTTCTTGCCGCACCCGCTGAGCAGTTTGCAGACCACCCCACTGCCGTGAGTGCGCGATGGTGTTGAACCTCAAGCATCGTACTGACTACATTCAAGGGCCAGGGTCCGTATCCCTACTCCCTCCAGATCCAAGTCGAGGAGGTAGACACCAAGTACTACGTGTGGGACATCTTCCAAGGACCTAGCGGCGTGGCCGTGAACCCTTGTGGAGACACTCGCTTCGAGAAGGTCTATCATGGCGAGCCTGGATGGCACACCAACAAGCCAGACATGGACAGCCCTCCTTACCCTCAGAACTACTTGCCGTTCGTCCCCGAGGTAAGTTGGCTGCTATCTTTAGACGCGCACCGTACATACACTGACTCACTTCTAGTTCGAGGTCCCGATCGAGTACGGCAACCGCGGTGACTGTGCCTACCACGCCACTGGCAAAGATGCGGGCCAGTTCCGTTGCGGCGACTACTACATAATCGACTGCGCCAAGGATCCTCGATATGGACAACAAGTTTCCTGCGGTAACCCGCGTCCACGCTACGCTGTGGCCTGGTACTGCGAGTTCTAGAGGTTGGATAAAGATTCTGATGAAGAGCGACCGTGAGGGTGGGCAAGGCGCAGCTTGAGAAATGACTGCAAGTCTCCTGCCTCCTGTAGACATGAAAAGATTTCGTCATTCTACGTAGAACCAATGAGTGTATGAAGAACGCTCTCACTCCCGCTCTCAGTCTCACTCTAATCACCCTGTACGTCAAAGCGCGAAGAACTGCCGCCTAACTTGGCCATTTGCACGTCCCCTCCCGCCCGCCTTTTTGCCTGCATTTTGCCCACTAGAACCGTCAGGTGCTCGCTTCTTAGCCAAGGGATCACAAAATATACATATAGCTCACACTGGCCCTCGCTCTGCCTCTGTCTTTAACACAACTCTTATCCTGAACGCCTGGACAAATCACACAACAACATCTCCCTCAACATGCTCGCGTGGTTTACTCTCCTCGTTGGCCTGTCCGTCAGCCTACTATTCGGCGCAACCTCTGCAACATCTGCCAAGTTCTTGAGCCCCGAGGCGCAGGCTAATCGCACCGCACACGGTCTGGTACGTATGCATTATGTTCTGTAACGCGGTGCTTTACTGACCTTATACTAGCAAGCTGATGTGTTCACCAATTCGGTTCAGATTATTCTTGAGCGCTACTCCATTGCGGACTTCTACTGGTCGTTGTATCTAGGTCCTTATGGTGTGAAGATCAATGCCTGCAAAACAGGAGACTTCAAGCTCGGCTCGCAGATAGGTGAATTGGACTACGATCGCAACGACATCAACAACCCCCCAAACCCACCCGCGGTAAGTGAATTCATCGATTGCAGCTTGGAAGTGCACATGAAACTGACCACAGCGTAGATGGAGCTACCTGTTCCTGAGTGGATGGGCCGCAAGGACTGCAACTGGAAGACCAACGGTCACGGTGATGTCGGTCAGTTCGTATGTGGCGACTGGATGATCTACGACTGTGAGCGAGATGCGAGTTGGAACGATGGAGCGATCTCATGTACCGGCCAAGGTTGGTCGTACCATCGCGGATACGCCTGCAATTTCTAGGCTGGGGTTCTTCGTGCACTGCATAACTTGGCAAAAGAGTCTTTTGTCGCTTGAGTAATGTGGTGGACGGTCTTGGGATTGGGATCTATCGGTCGGCAACAGGGCAAGACACATGATTTCCTTTTAGAAGCCGGACAACTGGTTACCATCTTAGATACTTGGTGAATCGAAATGGGTATCGCTTCCAGATACACATGCTTATATCCTGCTCGCTTCAAGGTGCGCTAGTGGCCGAAAGAAAGTGTTTCCTATTTGTTTGCTTGCATGGTCTCGTTGGGTGGTGTTCGTATCTTGAGGGTGTCACTGCCTACGTGTCAGTCAATCGGTTCACTTTCGCTTACAGTATATAACCCCGTCCTGGTGCTCGAGCCAACCCTCCTCTCCCGAACAGCTCTCAAAATCGAAAAGCAAGCAGCACGTTGACTACTACGCCGTTAAAATGCGGACGGTCACCTCATCACTTGTCGGCCTAGCCGCTATTCCCATTTGCACGACTCTCACTACACCCGTCAATTACGCCGGCGTACGGAGATCAGAAAATGGTACCGATTGGCGCCCCTCGGTCGGTTTTCTGAATACCAAGATAGACTTCACCGCTAAATCCGAGGTAGGACTATTACGACTCCTCGGTCCAGATCCTTCTCCTCCGATCATCCGGTACAGAGTACTACTGGCAAATGTATCAAGGCCCAGCCCTAGTATCCGTGGATCCTTGCGGCTACCCAGACCCCTTTAAGGTCGCGGATTACAAAGGCGTGTACCATTACGGACGAGACGCGATTGACAACCCTCCGCAAGCTCCTGCTGTAAGTCATGACATCTCTTGCGCAAGCTTTCGGCAGTTGATGGAAATACGCGGTGGCTGACAGCATATCCCTAGATGGATCTCAAACTCTTGAAGTGGATGGACCATGATGATTGCGTGTGGAGAACGCAAGGCAAGGCAACGGAGACGTTGGGCATGTAGTTTGTGGTGATTGGATGGATATGCCCTGCGAGAAGGACGGGTCGTACGACCAAGGCGTATTGAACTGCCATGGAAGGTCTTTCCATCGTATGTACGCTTGTAGGTACTGAGCACGGGTGAATGAGGTCCTGGTCGCAAGCGGGTCAACTTCGGGGTCGCGTCAGGGAAATTGGGGGGCTGGTAGGCGCTTCTGATCGAGGCCCCCTCATTCCACAGCTTTGGGTACCCGCAGTATGCACATTGCGATGGCGTGTTTCGCATGATCAAAAATCCTGTTCATTGACATTTTTATGCGCACCTGACTATCGTTTGCCAACTTTTGGGAATTTTGACGACTTGCCTGGTCTCGCGGTTGTAGGAAGCAGAGATCTGAGCTGGGGCGTGCACGGTCAGCTGACGACGACATTTACTAAGCCCAAAATAGTTAGCATGCGTAGCCCTCTTCGCGAAGTGAGTGCAGTTTCGACCTGAGGTATCACATTAGTCGAAGTTAAAGTTTTGGCTTCTTCCGAGTATCCACTAGACTACGAGCCGAATGCGAGTATAGTACGATGCCGTATCGGTGCAGCCGAGGATGTCTTTTCGTCTTCGTCGATATGGTTGGTTGATAGTATCAAGTAGCAGGATATGAACAGGATGGTTATAAGGAAGTCCAGAGCTTCTGGCATATGAACTTGCCCCTCACAATCATCGGTGTCAACACTGCATTGCTTATTATTTTTGGGCTTCTTGGGATAATCCTTTTTTTCTTACAATCCACTAGCTCCCTCTAAGTATGGAAGCCCCTCTATACTATTCGTCCAAAGGGTCAGAAAATGCTACCGCCTTCGTCAACGGACGAGTATACACCATGGACGATGCGCAACCATGGGTTGAAGCCTTTATCGTCAATCCCGACGGCAAGTTTGAAGCCGTCGGCTCGAACGAGGAGATCAGAACCATTGCTAAAAGAAGAGGGCTCGTTCAGTACCAACTACAAGAGAAATTCGTCATGCCCGGTATCCACGACGCCCATACTCACCTCTTAGCGGCTGGATGCCAGCGCACTGGGGAAGCGCACGTCGGCTGGGATAGCACCGACAAGACTCTCGCCAGCAACATCAAGTCAGCTTCCTGTGCCTGCGCTTTTTCAAACGTCATGGGCAACTGGATTATAGGCAACTTTTACCAGGCAAGCAACTTTGCCGATGGCATTCCCGACAGAAAATACCTTGACGAGCTTTACCCGGACGACCCCGTGATCGTGCGCGAAATTTCCTGCCATCGAATCCTCGTGAACACTGCTGGACTGCGTGAGATGGGTATCGACGACGACGTCAAGGACCCGCCCGGGGGTTTCTTCTTTCGTCGACCTGATGGCACACTCACCGGAGAGATTGTCGAGGCTGCAACAACTCCAATCTGGCGTGGTCTACCGCGCACTCCACTCAGCTATGCCAAGACTGTCATCGAGTTTGCCATGTCTGAATGTCATAGGTATGGCATTACATCCGTGCAAGAGGCATCGGCCAACACCGTCTATCTACACGCCGTGCGTGAGCTGGAAGCGGAGAATCGCCTGCCTCTAAACATACACACACACATTGTTGCCGCACCGGAGAAAGCTCACGAGCGCGAGGAATCACTAGCAGCTCTGCTCAATGTTGCAGAAGCTTTTGAGAGCAAACATGTTCACACGAGCTTTGTCAAGTTCTTCCTCGACGGCGCTCCGCTTCCTCCACAGTCCACCCAATGCGATTTGAACGACCATGGAGCGCCCGATGCTAAGCATTTGCTGTTGAGCTACGACAAGCTACTCGAACAACTTCTCAAATACGATGCTCGGAGCATGACATGCAAGATCCACGCCGCAGGCGAGGGAAGCTTGCGGCTTGCGCTGGACGCCTACGAGGCTGTGCGAAAGAACAACCCCAACGGTCCCAAGCACGAGCTTGCGCACTGTAATGCAGTCCATCCAGGTATGTGAAGCCATTCCTGGGTATCCTTTGCGAGATCTTCATGCTTCGAAACTAAGTTACGCTGTAGATGACATCCCACGGATCGCGCGCCTGGGCCTTACCGCCGAGATGTCCCCAGCAATTTGGCACCACCCCATTGTACAAGCAGCGCCCCATCTGCTCAAGTGGCCCTTCAACGATATTCTGGCTACAGGCGCTCGTATGACGATTGGCTCGGATTGGATCTTGACTCCCAACCCAAGTTTGTTCGACCCACTTGCACACCTGGTGGAGAGACTTGAAGTGCCTGAAACACCAGCCCATGAGGGATTGAACAAGAAGCAGATAGCCGCTGTAACGCTCTGCCGTATGATCACGTTGGGAGGTGCAGAAGCGGTGGGCAGAAGCCGCATGCAGGGCAGCATTGAAGTTGGGAAAATGGCGAACTTCATTGCTGTTGATCAGGACTTGAGCCAAGGAGAGTTTGCTGGAGCAACGGTCTTAAAGACCTGGTTTGAGGGACGACAGGTATATAGCTCTGTGCCGGGCCAGTTGGGATTGAAGTCTTGATGACTTGACTCTGCAATTTAGCCCTACCATCAGCGCATTTAATTTCCAGCAATGAATAGATTCGTCGCTTTGGCTATCCCCGCCTCAGTGATTGGTATCTTCAGACTCAATTTTCTCTTCTTCGTCGACATCTTTGACCATTGTGTATCTTTGAGGTTCCTTTACGGTCGCAACAAATATAACGCTCCCCACGATCAATCCCGCACCAACAAGCTTCCACCATCCCGGCTCCAATCTCCATACAATCTTATCCGCTAACATAGCGAACACTACCTGCAGGTTTACTATGTGAAGCGCTCTCTTCGAATCGCCGGTCATCAAGCTCGCTGCCATGAGCCAATGCATGGCGAACCCCAATGTGCCCAGCACGCATACGAACAGCCATCCTACGGCGGTGGATGGGAAAGCCAAGCTTTTTTGCTGTATGATGAGCGATGCGCCGCTGAGTAGCGTACATATGGGCGCAAAGTATGCAACCGTTGTCATCGGGTGTACGTGCTCTCCTAGGCACGACATCGTTAAGAAAGAGACTGCGCCGCCGAGGACACCAATAACAGCCGCACCAATGGCCAGCGCGTGCTCTCTAGGCGTATCTGTTATCTGAGCGCTCCAAGGCTGCAACACGCAGAGTAAGCCGATGACCGCAAGTAGAGCGGCGAGAATTTGAGCGACAGAGCAGCGCTGCTGACCTGGTATTAAGCCGAGGAGAAGGGCAGCGAGAATTGGCGCGAGGAAGTTGATCAGAGTTGCCTCAGCTAGTGCGAGATAGCGTAGAGAAACGTAGAAGCCCCAGATACCGAAGAACCCCGCAACGCCTCTTACGACGAGTAGAGGACGCAGCTTGGGAGGACCAAATGCACCACCAGGAATGGCTGCCGGGGACAGTAATATGAACGTCCACGACAGAACGGTGATTATCGACATCATTACAATGAGTATCTGGAGAACATCAGTGTTTGCGTAGGTGAGCGCGTGACATATTCGCATACCTCGGAAGTACCGACTGTTGTGGTGCCTGAGCCGCCGCTACGCTGCGTTCCCAGGATGCGTCCCAATGTCGCCAGGATAGTAGAGCATACTTGCGCCAGTAGCATAAGAATAATACCAGCATTGTTATGAAGGATAAGATCCGCGCTGCTCGCAACACCATAGATTCTATTCGTTATTGATGTAGCTGAAATCATGGTGTTGTGATGGGGAAGGTATACGGAAAGCTCTCCGATGGAAGACGAGCTCGGGATGCGGGAATGTGAGACTTTACGCGTATTTGATGCGTTTCACGCCTGCTTTCAGCACAAACCCCCCAATTGCGGAGCAGAATAATTCCTGAAGGCTTGATCGTTGGTCGCAGAAGGAATTACGTGCTTCCAAACTCAACAATGCGGCTTCGGTGCGCTCTGCTCCACGTGCATCGACGTATTGCAGTCTGCGCAAAAGCTGCATCAGATGTTTTTGTCAACAGACTCAACAGGATGTGATTCCATCTGCCTCACACGCGATTCATGATGAAGTTGAGCCTGTCATTTGCTATCCTGTCAGCAAAAGCGAGGCACCGAAACGAAGATCCAGTCCGCTGGCAGTAAGCCACCTGCCCAGCATCGAGCAGAACTTCCACAAGCCAAAAGGTCATCGCGGGATATGTGCGACACTCGCTTTGGCCAAAACTCTTCGCCAGTGACTCCTCAGACTTTCTCTTGAGTTTGACCTCGCCCTCGCGCAGAGTGCGTACACTCTTCCCACGACTCCTTAGTGATGCGCCAGATCCATTCATTTCCGAACATCTTGTCGTCTATTTTCTCAGCCTGGAAACCGAACTTTTTGTTCATCAGCCCCTTGAACGCCGTATTAGCATCTACACATGCTATATGTATCTCATCCATGCCCAGGACAGCAAAGCCATGATCAATGACCATACATAACGACTCATAGCCGTAGCCTGAGCCACGATAATATGTGTCCAACATCAAGCCTGCGTCACCAATCAGCTGGCCATCAGTCTTTCTTCTGCCAATCCAGCCCAAGCCGCCGGTGCCGACAGTCATCCCATCTATCTCGATGACGATGTTGGCACGCTGCAGTGGTAGATCGACGACCTGCCATTGCTTGATCAAATGCTCAATGGCGTCACTACTGTCAAGACCGGCACATGACTTGTCGTGCTGGACATTGCGATAGTCGGTGAAGAGTCGTAGGAGTGCAGCAGCGTCGTTCATGTCAGGAAGGCGGAGATGCAATTGAGGAAACGTAAGCGATGTGATATGCAAGGTGCTTTCACCTTCGGATGATAGATTCGTCGAATGAGTGTAGAAGCTGGTACTACCGGTAGCGACAAGCGCAGGGTATTCAGTCCCTGCAGGCATAGTCTCGGAGTTTTCGATGGGCTGGTTGATGTCTAAAAGATCGGAGGTTTGCGCAATGGCCTAGTGTGGTGCATGCAGATGGATGCACATCCATCAGTTCCTTCTCCGATGCAACGTACGTTGGGCGTAACTGTTGCCGCCTCCGATGACGTGGCGGCGTTCATCCGCATCGACGTTAGGTATGATGGCAGCCAACAGATCAAGATCGTGTTTGTTTCTTCTGGGCAGACTGACTGCTGACTGCGATCAGAATACTTGCTGTAGTCGATGAAGCTCGGTGGGGCTTCGTCGGGGGTATTTGTTGTTTTGACTAACAAGTTTTCAACAGTATTCCTGTGGATGATGGTGTGCGGCACATTTGCGGCATGGGGCTTGGTGCCTCCACGCTATACCGGAAATAGAAGATTGCAGGTGGCCCCAGCTCAAACGTGAAAACAAAGGAGATGACGGCACCTGCATGCTTCAACACCACCTTCCTCCTTGTGCATATGCCGGAGTGGAGTGTGTGCAAACATCATCTTCAAGGTTCCAGAGCCCGATAGGGCTTGCTCTTCTACCCAAAAATCGTGTGCGCAGCCGGCAAAGGGTTTTAGGTCAGCTCAATTTTAGCTTTCACCATCATGCTGAAGCCTGGACATATCAGAGCTTACGACAACTTCAACGACGTACAACGTCTTGCATCACAATCTCTCTTCTCTGACCTTTGTACCAGGTTGTTCACATTGGGCTGACACAGTAGCGACTATTGCACGCATGCTGGACGAACGGAGAGTGGTGGTGTCAGAGCATCGCTAGGTACCAGATTATCGTGTCGCCATCCCCAACGGACTATGTATATGTACACCCATTCGTTCCATGCCTATCGCACAGATCCCGGAGTACCAGACGCCGTGTGATCATCGCCATATGTCTCGCATCACACTAGAGATAAACTACTGCGCGACTATGCGTGGAACCCATTTCCCCTACACAACCGCTGTGGCAGTATACTATGATTCGAAGCAACGTGAGTGGTGAGATGGGTCACATTCTTGCTACTATAGAAGGACTGGCTCTCACCGCAAGGGTGTCGGCTCCGATGTACTGAACGCGAAACGCAGATCTTCCTGTCGCCATTTGAAAGACAAGATACACTTTCAAAGCGATCTGTCAATGGGAATTGTTGAGGCTAACTTTGTAAAACCGCCTACAGACTTCCATTGCGTCGCTTATCTGAATATGTGCTTCGTCTATAAGCATGTCTTTGGCTGACAGCGTACAAATCCTTTTACGACGAGGACAATGATGTTGATCCTTCTTGTGGCTTGCAGAGGGCTTCTCATTCAAAGAAGCATCGGAAAAAGTAAGATATAGTCTACAGACACGGCATCCACTTGGCTAGCAGCTATGATCGCTTGAGGTGATGATGGTCGCGGTGCAGCTGCAGGAAGCAGACATGTCCCACCATTTCCTACACCGCCGTCTATAAGATCCAACTTCTGCGTCTGTTCTAGCTGAAGCATTCTTCAGAATCGACCGTCTGATCGAGAGTACATAAGATCATCTTCCACTGCATCCCGCGAGAAGTCATTGCCTTCATTCCTAGCTTTTGACAACGTGTGCAAAGACTCAACCAGAGTTTAGCCAACCAGGGGCCCGCATCACTATGGCCGTCACAAAATCACAACAACAGCGTACGCTGATTCTTGATATCGGCGATGTGCTGTGTCACTGGTCAATCGAGAATCTCACTGCCATCTCTCCTCAAAGTCTCCACGCCATCACCCGATCGCCAACGTGGAGCGAAATGGAACGCGGCTGTATTAGCGAGACAGAAGCCATCAGAGCTATCAGCAAAGAGCTCTCTCTCGATCCTGACGCCATCGATACCGGGCTTATGGAATGTCGCAAGACATTGCGCATTGATCAAGAGCTCACGTCCCAACTCAAAGAGCTCAAAGCGGAGCTAGGTGGCCATCTCAAGGTTTATGCCATGAGCAACATTGCCAAGGAACATTTCGCCTTTGTCAAGGCCGTGCTATCCGACTGGGGTCTGTTCGACGGCGAGTTCTTGTCCTTTGAAGTTGGCATGACGAAACCTGATCTTCAATTCCACCAGCACGTTCTGGATAGCCTCAACTTAAGCGACCCTTCTTCCGCGATCTTTGTGGACGACAAAGTCGCCAACGTCAATGCAGCCCGCTCCTTCGGGATTCATGGCATCGTCTTCGACTCCTCGACCGCTCTGATTCGTCAATTGCGTAACCTTTTGATGGATCCCGTTGCGAGGGCACGCCGATTCATGACCGCGAATGCGCACAAGCACACATCATGCATCCAGGACGTCGCCCCCGTGATCTTTGATCACTTCGCCCAATTCCTCATACAGATTGAGTTGAATGATGATAGCGTCATCAGTCTTTCACCACCCGGCGCTTCCGATGCTGATATCAAATCGGACATTCGACAGGCCCGTAGCCAAGCCAAAGCATGGAACTTCTTTAATGGTCCTCCAGTCGGCACAACAAAAACGTGTAAGTAGAATCGATGAATAGTCGTGGTATATGTGCTGACTTCATGCGCCTGAGCTTAGACCCTGATGATGTCGACGATACAGCTCTCGCCTTTCTTGCGTTCGCCCCGCCAGCAGCGTCTGCCAACCCGATCTTGGACCGTATCGTCGAGAACAGGCACGACAAAGACGGCCTTATCATGATCTATCTTGGTGGTACGAGGCCCCGTGTATGCCCGTTCATCATGCTCAACGCCGTTCGTGCCCTGTATAGATACGGACGCGGCGCAGAAGTACAGCCCGAGCTCGAACACATTCGTCGCATCCTTTTGAAAGGCGGTCACATCGATGGATCGGAACACTATCTTGCCAGCGAGACCTTTCTGTACTTTCTGGCGTGCCTCATCGAAGACAATCCCACTGCACCTGAGGTCCAGTCGCTGCGTAAGCCAACAATTGAGGCCTTGCGTCAACGTGTCAATCGCCCCGGAGATTCTTTCGTCCTCGCCGCGCGTGTCTTAGCATGCCAGAAGCTCGGCGTGGATACTCTGTCTGACCTGGAATCTTTGAAAGAGTTGCAGGAATGTGACGGAGGTTGGGAACTGGCGTGGATATCTCGTCTCGGTAGAAGTAAGAAGATGATTGGGAACAGAGGGATACCTACGGCGTGGGCTATCAAAGCACTGGAGTACGAAGCCCAACCATAGTTACATAAGAAAGCTCTATTGACAAAAGGTCGACATTGTAGAATAGCACTTTGATTTGACACTATTTTACCACTGTCATCGGTTTACTACTGAACCCAGCTGACGTATCAGCTCGACATTATTCATACAAGGTCTCATACACAGTGGGTGGGGTATATCGTTGTATACTGAAAACGATGTGTACCTGCCGCTGAATGCCCACACTGCCGATTCACACGGAGGTGAAAGCTATACTTATAAAGGCTATCCGCTCTTCCGATCACACTTTCACCATCGCACTCTTACTATCAGTGACCAGCAGACAAACACGGTCACAATTCTCGACACTCTTATCGTTCCGCTAGCACCCTCAGCACCATCAAACACATCTCGGTCTTTGCAGTCGCACGAGTCAACAATGTCTACAGGATCTACTGGCGAGCGATTCAAGCACCCTGATGACGAATGTCTAACGGCGTACACCAAGGCTTTGGAAAAAGGTAGAATGCTGCATATACAGGCTCATTCTGACCAGCCCAGCATCCCCCAGAGCGAATTCCAATCGGTCTCCGACCTTGAAGAGTGGGGATATGTGCTAGATGCTGAAACGGACCCTCGGGTAGGCATTATGTGTTCGGCGAAACATGTGAACGAAACTACCAGGGACGGCGAGACATACCTACCCACCGACGCCTGGTTTCTCAATAATATATATCCAGATGATGGCACGATCGAAGCGGCGGCTAACTACGCGCCTCACGCGGTGGCATCGGGCTTGGTTAAGTTCGTAGACCAGCCGGCGCGCGCAACGGCACCTACACTGTTGCCCAAACTATGCCATTGGAGCGACATGGCATACCTCAAATGGCTGCATGTTATTTGCAAGGAATCGCCAACGCCTGTGTTGCGCACCGTCTCTCAGTACGGGGACAGTGTTGCGTCTGAAATGGTAGTGCAGCATGTAACAGCTGGAGTACAGCCGCGTAAAGTTCGGTCTTATCTCGAATACGAGTTTGATGCAGACTCAGACGAAGGCTTAGCGATACTCGGGACGCCTGAAGGAGCCGGTACCGCCTACCTACTGATTCAACATCGGGAAGGGTTGGGTCGTCGGGTTGTCGACAAGATTGTTGCTTCTCAGTTCGCGGATCCAGAATCTAGGCACTTGCAAATTGTGTTTCACGTCAAAGAGGCGGAGAAATTAGATGGACACGTCGTGTAATTGAACGTAGTCGGTAGATGGACGCGTCACGTAGTTGAAAGCAGTCGGTAGATTGGCTCATCATGTAGTTGAACGTAGTCGGTAGCTGATTGATTCTCGATAATCTGAACTTGTCGTCGCACGTTGTCCAGCTCCCACAGTGCATTGACGATCCTCACTCTCTCCCTAGCATCTGACAATATCATCTAATCATCTTGGCTTATCCTCTCAGCCATCACAGCCTGGTTCTTCTCGTTGGCATGTGCAAACTCCCTGTATCTTTGCTCCTCATCCGACTTGCTCGCCCTTACGACTGTTCGGTTCTCTTTGTTGAGCCCCATGCAGAGCCTTGGGTTCTCGTAGAACATGATGTCGATCTGCTCAAGCGTGCGTCCAGAAGTCTCGACGCCAAAGAAGTAAGTTAGTGGTACAAAGGATGCGCAAACGGCAGCCCAGACCCAGAAGTAGTGGCCGC